ATGCTTATATGCAATTTATACAATTTCGGTTTTTGTTAAAATTTACCCCCCACCCTTAAATTCACCCCCTCACCCTCACTTTTGTAAAAAGCGTAGTGTTGTTTAACCGTATTGCAATTCTAAGAAGAATTGCGTGTGCAGAAAGTCCGCTAGACATTGTTTCAGCAGTTTTGGCTTATTGGTCTGTTACGCTTGTTTCGAAATACCGAGAGTCGCCAGTACCGTATTATCACTATTATTATCACTATTATTATTATTATTATTATTATTAAAAGTCCGGCCATATGCCAGTCCTTTCTGAATTTATCCGTATTATCCGGTAGGCTGCATTTTGCACAGTGTGCGAAGAATGATATTGGTTTATCTCCATTGCTGCACGTTATTGTCTGTCTATGATTCTGTAAAGAAAGTAGAAATAAAACAAATTAAGTAATGTAGATAAGATTTATATAATATTTATTTACATTTGCAATTTTCAGGATCGGCGTTGAGCACTGTTCGCAATCACAGATGATTGGGTTGTAGTGTACGGGGATATTGATATTTGCATACTTCTCTATTAACTCAAGTGCATTAAGCAATCGATTGTGGTCCAGGTTGATTTTCCTTATGCTGGGAAAGTGCCTGACCCAGTCATCAGGCATTTCAGTTATTTCATTATATGAAAGGTCTATGTATGTCAAGTTGCTGAAATCGTACTGCAATAGTTCACTCGGTGGGGAGCCATATTTATTGTCTTTTAGTTTTAAGATGTTCGGCTTCAATTCCGATAGACATTTAAAATCTGGTGTACTGGTCTGATTGGAACAGTCGTAGGTATTTTCACTTTCCCACTCTTCAGCGTGCATCAAGCAGCCGCAAGTTATATTAGAGTCGGCTTTACAGACCGAAAATCCTATGATTGTAACTAATATATAGTAGATGTCCATAATAACAACTGATTACAAAATAAAAGAAATTTGTAAAACGATTATTGGGATAGTGAAATAATATTCAACTTATTAATTAATTATTACTAACAAGCTCATAATGAAAACAAGTAAGAAAGCTCTAGTCGAGACTGCTCGACTACGAGATCCCCTGAACCCTTGGAGCAATAGATATTTCAATAATTTTTCGCGTC